AGGACATGAGGAAAAGAGAAATAAAAACCCTTCTGTCCACGAATGCCATAAACATGAATGGCGGTTTGAGGAGAGCTGTCCACGGTACTGAAATGATTCAGCACAGTGGCAGCAGCGGAGGGAGGGCTCTGTGGGAGGTTTGGGACTAATAACCACGTTCTGCAGGGAATATGGGCCTTAAGGGAAAAAGGAATTCTAATAACTTATTCTCAAGAAACTCTCTTTTATGCCCCACTGAAGGAAATGAGTATGAGCTACAAGGCAATTGTCCACTCATATTAAAGAGGAGCGTCATCCTCACAAATGCATTCAAGCTTAATTTAAATGCGAATAAAATTAATCAGCATATGTGCCGGATGTGTGGTGGACTCGTATGAATGCTGATGAATTACAAACGAATGGCTGGTAGAGAGGCTTCACGTGGCCTCTCTCGCGAGTCAGTGGTCAGGCAGTCTGGCAAGCCGGCCTCACAGACTAGCCTGCTGAGTTCTGGATGGCCTTCAGATCAGCCTGATTGGCTAGTGTGGCCTGACACCCTTTTCTTCACAGCTATGATCTGCATCCTCATTGGTGGCACAAAACGTCTCTAGCCTGTGGTTGGCTCCTCTTCAAACTGGGATGTCAGGGGACGGAGCTGTGAACACGACCACAGCTCAGTGGAACTCTGGCAGAGTGCCCACGCTACAGCAGTCAGACATGGAGACAAACACACACACACATACATACACATACACATACACATACACACACAAAAAAAATCACACATGCAGCGGAAGTCTAACACCCTGTCTGTGTTACACAAAGCACCGATGCTCTCAGTCACACATCTGAAATCATGTGTGCAAGCTAAATTCCACTGATGCCCCGCACAGAAATCATACATCTGTGAACACAAACATGCTTTAATGTTCCTGACATTTTGCACATCTGAGTCACTATAAAGGACCTTGTCCTTTCTTTCACCCTGCAGAGAGGAGCGACACACACACAGAGTCAGAGAGGTTCCTGGTGTGTCAGGATGATAGTCCCTGTGGGGCCGTTGTCTTGAGTTGTTTGATAGAAACCGGTGAGGTTGAGGGAGGAGATTGCATTTTGGGGGGATGGGAGGTAATTTGGCTAATTTAGCTCTACTGCAAGGCTGTGTGTATGTGTATGTGTATGTGTGTACATTTGAATACAGATCTGTCTATGTTCTTGTGATCATGCATTAATGTGCGCAGGGGAAATCTCATTTGTGTATTGAATTTCAGCATAATTTTTCAAATGGCGTATCTGACAGTGAAACATGAGTGTGTGTCTTTGCAAAGGTTAACCACCAGGTGGCAGATGCTGGCTCTGCATGGTCATAAGACGATCTGCTGCTCAGTGCCACAACATTTGATCTCAGCTGCTCACGTACACATCCATGCATGCCGATGTGCAGTCACATACACAGTTAGCGTTTTTATGTTTCACCTGAAAACACTTGAGTCATTTGTGCACCTCACAGACATGTTAGAATTGATCAGCTTTCACCTAATTGAGCAAATGAGTATAATTCACAGAACAACATAAAGCACATAATCAATTCACATGGGACAGGCAACAGTTTGTCGATACATCTCCTATAATGGTCAATAATGTACTGTAAGGCTGGAGACAACAACAAGACTGGCATTAAATCAGCACACCACCCTGAAGAACTTACATCAGATAGTCTTATGTATCATGCTAATGTCTTTGATTGGTTTTCAGGTCGGCAATAATAATTCCTGCCACACTTCAATTAATTAAACCTGAGATGCATATGAGACTGATTGTTTTCATCCCTAATTAAATACAATCCATGAAAGAGGAGTGATGCAAAAGAGAGTATCTGTAATTCCTCTTTATTGTTCTGTTATCATCGCAGAAACAATGCAAATGAACTCTTCACTCCTGGCAATTTATCTCTAGAAGAACTACAGACTGAACGACTAAATGAGCATAAAAATGTGAACTGTAACGCTGCTGGGTGGCACAGAAAAAGCAAACGGTGAACTTATGAACTCTGTCTCTTTAAATGGCCAAAGGACAGGTGGTTTTTTTTATTAATTTTTTTGATTATCTTAAGTTTCATCCAGGCTGTTGAAAGGTGCTGTACGGTTAATTGTTGTGGGGTTGAGTGTGTGTGTGTGTGTGCGTCAGATGGCCAGGGGCTCTGTGGCATAGGCAGCCCCGGGTAATTATCAAGCTTTTTATCAAGTTTTGACCCTGTGACCAGAACACCTTTCAGAAAATCATTGCAAGAGCACATGTCAAACAAATAAAGCTCTCACTTTGCAATTTAATTTCCTCGCAGGTGGCCAATCTTGCAGGAAATAGTAATAGAGGGAAAATGGCCACACTCCATGTCATTCTGGCAGTTTTACAATAACTCTGCACTTCTAACTTCTCCACTATGAAATTCTCTCTCATTCTTCTTTTCTGCAACTATATAATCCACTTTGATTTATTTTCTCAGACCGAGGGCATGTTACTGTCTCTCACTTCAAGAGGAAGGTAACATGTTGAACGTGTGCAGAAAATTAAAGGTGAGGTGGTGTGGAGCGGCTCAGTTAAACACAGAGCTTGTTATATAGGGATTTGACAAGTGACAGGTATAGTGGAACAAGTCGGGCTCTGAATTCTGGTGTACAGACAGTTAACAATGAAATCAGTCACAATTAAATGTTTGCTTTAAGTGGGTGGAGGAGGAAACATTGTGTCATTGTGAGAAAGATCCAGAAGAATAGTTTTTCAGACAGACACTCAGACTCAGACAGGATGGTGGGTGGTCAGCCACACACAGAGGAAAAATCACATTACATCAGTGAATTAAGATACAGTAGAAGATATAATTTGAAGATCGGAACATTTAAGCTCGCAAATGGGACTGTGTACATTTTGTTTAGAGATTTGTGGTTTATATTGTCTTGTCCTTAACCCAGCATCGCATCAAAACTGTTCATTTTGAGAATCCACAACACAGTAAAAATGCTGTTTGTATAATCAAAGAGAGCGTTCGGAGTACAGTCAGCACAGGTAGCCAAACAGCATAATGCCAACCAGTTCTGCTTGTTTGCCAGCTAGATGACACTCTCCACAGTCATTTCTGTCCAAAGCACATTACAGTAAAATAACTGCATTTATTTTGAGGATGAGTGGCCCCAGTGGGAATGAAACCGCTTCCCCACAGCAGTGTTAGTGCCATCTCTTCCCACAGAGCTATACTACACCTAACTCTACCTCTCATCCCAACTCTCCACTGCATTTTAAATTTTTTACCAGCTTTTGATATTCTGTATCTTAAAACACTTCCCTGTGTTGCACCAGTCTGTTTCAGTAGAATACATTGATGAGATGATGGTGATAAAGCAACACACACAACACTTACTAAGACATCTGAGTTTGATCTTTCATATTTCTCCTTATGGGTCAGCAAGTATGATATACATTAAACAAAATATTGTTGCTCATTTTAGTTCAATATTTTCCATTTTCTGGTGTCTGATAAAGTGTCCTGTAGCTTTTTCCTACTGCAAGTATCTGATTTCCCTCATTAAAGTTTCATTTTTTCTTAACCAACATACAAAGATCTTTGGTCTGTAAAAGGAACCTGAATGATTACACTTTTTAGAAGAACAAAAACTTCAAGCAATACTGTAATAATCTGCCCAGTTTTGCACCAGGCAAAATTATTCTTCTAGCTTCTAAACTATTTAATATTCCCAAAATAAAATCTCATCCGGAGACTTGAATTAAATCCAAATAAGCGGCCACTGTTATTTGAATGTGTTTAAAAATAGAACAGGTCTCAAAATTATCATAATCAAAATCTCTTTTGCTCTCACTGTCAACTCTACTTGACTCCTCTCTTGCGAAGCTGCAGCTGGTGTTGAAGATGTACAGCAACATATTCGTGCATCTCATCAGAAACCAGCTTATATTTAGCTGGGCAGTCGGTCTCTTGCACTGGACCCTTCTTTATTTTTCCTAAAATTATCTTGAAAGGTACCAATGTGCCACTTGTGATTTGATATTAATTGTACTGTAATCATTTTGCCACTACTGCTGACATAAATAGATCAAGGATGATCAGACAGTATTAAAGATTTAAATTTGACTATTTTGAGTAAGTAAATAACATTTATACTTTATTACAAAATAAAACATGCTTTATCCATCAAACAAAAACATCAACAATCTGTACAGTATCTGGTTTATTTGGCACTAGTTATATTTCCTTGTAATCCTTACAGGCAGTCAGTGCCTCTGTACCAGGTACGGGTTTGTGTTGTACCTGTGTCCACTTAAAATCATTTCAAATAGCATGATAGCATAATTTGATCTTATCAACCATAAAAACATGCAGGTGATTATACGACATTTGAAATCCTCCTCCTGCTGTCTTAACATTTTGTCAACAGGCTTTCTAACAGCATGGCATCAGATCTCTCAGGTTTCTGCTTACAGGCCCTGAAAAAACTGCAGTCATTAAGCCACTCTTAAAATAAGACACTTCACTAATGGACAATATAGGCCCATATCAAACCTCCTGTATTGAAGGAAAATCATTGAAAAAGCTCCTTTTCAACAGCTAAACAACTTCTAAGTACTAAACAAATGTTTTGATGTCTTCCAGTCAGGATTTCAACCACACCACATCACTGAAACTCCTCCTGTTAAGGGCTTCGTTGACATCCACTTAAACACAGACAGTGGCAGAATGAGCAGAACTAAACTGGTCTGAATCCTATTGAAAGGACAGGAACTACTTTGTGTCTATATGTAATTACATCTATAGGCAATTACATCT